ATCCCAGCACTTTGGGAGACCGAGGCGAGAGGATTGCCTGAGCCCACAGGTTCGAGACCAGCCCAGGCAACTTGGCAAGACCTCATCTCTACAATTAAAAAAAGAAATAGCCGGGCATGGTAGCATATGCCTTAGTTCCAGCTACTTGGAAGGCTGAGGCAGAAGGATCTTCTGAGCCCAGCAGGTCAAGGCTGCAGTGACTGTGAGCATGCCACTGCCCTCCAGCCTGTGCAACAGAGTGAGACTCCAACTCAAAAAACAAAAAATAAAAAAATTAAATTTAAATTTAAAAACCAGTAATAATAAGTAGGTGTCGAATGAATACACTGAACTCTGTCTTCCCAACAGCCCTATGAAGTCAGAAATGTTCCTCTTCCCATTTTTCAGAAAAAGAAGGCTCAGAGAGGTGACTGCATCTGCCCAAAGTCACACAGTCTGGATGAGGAGGAGTCAGTGTTGGGGTCTTTCAGGCTCCAAGACCATCTGCTTGCTTTTTAAGGGAGCCCTGCCTTGCTTTTCTCCTCTCCTGCCTCTCCTGGATTTATCTGGGACCCCGGCCTCCTAGGGAGGGGTTAGATCTCTGTCAGCATCTCAGGCTGAGTATACACGGGCTTGGATCAATACTGAGCCGACTTCAAACAAACAGCTCAGGAAGTCCGGGAACATTATTCGACCACAGCAAACAAGAGAGCCAGCAGGAAGGGGAGGGGGGTGGTGGAGGCCAGCCCAGCCCCGGGAGCTAAAAACAGATCCCAACCTGCAGCCAAGAGCAAATGGAAACATTAGAGGCACTCAGTCAGTTCCCCGAGGACAGTGAGGGGGACACAGCCAGGATGGCAGGCAAACGGGGAACCTCTGGCCAGGTGACCGTGCCTTGGCCCAGGCCATGGCCTTTGCCTGGCAGGCCCTTCCCTGCAAACCCTGCAAACCCTGCCTGATTCAAATTCCAGTTAACTCCTACTCTCATTCTTTTTTTTTTTGTGGGAAAACAGGACTTACTGAGAGGACGGAAAAGCTCCTAGAACAGAGGGGACCCGAGGGAGTTGCCCTCTTTCATTCTTTAAAGCATACCACAGAAGAGACAGCCCTGCTGGGTTTGCTACTGCCCAGCAAGGTGTCTATCATCATGAAAACTGTGGGCCGGGTGCAGTGGCTCACCCCTGTCATCCCAGCACTTTCGGAGGCCGAGGCGGGAGGATCGCTTGAGCCCAAGGGTCTGAGACCAGCCTGGGTGACGTCGTGAGATTTCGTCTCTACAAAAAAATTAACAAACTAGCCGTGTGTGATAGCGCACACCTGTAGTCCCAGCTACTCAGGAGGCTGAGACAGAAGGATCGCCTGAGCCCAGGAGGTTGAGGCTGCAGTGAGCCATGAGTGTGTCACTTACCCTCCAGCCTGGGCGACAGAGTGAGACCCTGACTCAAAAAAAGAAAAAGAAAGATAGAGAGAATAGCGAGTGTGTTTATAACTTCTGCTAAGTGCCTGGGACTACTTGTAACATATTCATTTAATTGTCATGAGAGTCTAATGAGGCCAGTACTGTTATGATCCCATTACACAGAGGGGGACACTGAGTCTCAGAGAGCTGAAGATTACCTAACTCACAGGTGATGGACACAGGACTGGAACCCAGGCCCCTGGCTCCCGCCATGAGCCTCAATGCCCTGCCTCTTGGGGCTGCGTTCATGGTTTGCCTCACTGTGGCTGTGATTTGCCTACGGTGCCCTGGCTGTTCACCATCTGAGAAACTCACCTCTAGGAGGCAACACTGCCACCGAGCCCCTGGGGACATCTCTGACCCCCAGTGTCTCTGTGTGGAGAATGGGGACAAGCCTGGCATAAGTCCCATGGGTTGGTTGGTTGGTTTTGAGTCGGAGTCTCACTCTGTCACCCAGGCTGGAGTGCAGTGGCACAATCACAGCCACCGCTGTGACCTCAACTTGATGGCTCAAGCGATCCTTCCACCTCAGCCTCCCGAGTAGCTGGGACTGCAGGCGCACGCCACCACACCCAACTTTTTTTATTTTTTGGGGGGGGAGACAAGGTCTTGCCAAACGGCCCGAGTTGGTCTTGAACTCCTGAGCTCAAGCAATCCTCCTGTCTCAGCCTTCCAAAGTGCTGGGATTGCAGACATGAGCCACCGTACCTGGCCCTTTTTATTTTTCTTATTTTTTAAATAATAGAGACAGGGTCTCACCATGTTGCCCAGGCTGGTCTTGAACTCCTGGGCTCAAGCCATCCTCCCTCCTCAGCCTCCCAAAGTGCCGGGATTACAGGCGTGAGCCACCACATCTGACTGACATTTCTTAATCTCCTCCTCTCCAGATACCCCTGGCCCTCCCCAGACTTCGAGCCCCCCTTCCCTTGCCGAGAATTAACAGTGTGGTGGCCTCAGTCCCGTGGGAAGTCACCTCCAGCCCCCAGGCCAGGGAGGGGGCCACGGAGTAAGTGGACAGGACTGGCCGGGTGGTCTGGGACCCCTGGGGCCCAAGGGAGAGAGGGTGGAAAAGAAGAACAAGGGGAAAACACTGGAAGCCAGGGACCCAACAGCCCCCAAACTCTCTCCACTACAGAGACCCCTAGAGGGAATCTCTCTTCCAGCTGCCTGAGGGGCCCCATCCTGCTCAGACCTGGAGGCCAGGTGAGTCCACTCATGCTGTCCAGTTTCCCTCCCCAGCCCTGGCAGGCCCAGCCCACAGCACTGGCTGTGATGTCACCTCACCCACTTCTCTTTCCGCACCACAGGGCACCCAGATGTGCTGCTAACAGAGCGCCAGGGCTAGAAGGGGTTGGTGAGACTGAAATAAACAGCCAAGCCCGGAATGGCCTTCAGTGCATGAGGGGAGATGCGGCGACCAGAAGGGGGCGGCCGAGCACTGGGAAAGGGCGGTCCCCAGGGCCTGACCCCACCTCATCAGTTCAGGCGTCCTGGCCTGGGACCGCGAGTCCAGGTCCCCAGCCCTTCCTCCCTCAGACCCGGGAGTCCTGCCCTAAGGATTTAGGAGTCCTGAGTCCCAAATTCCCAGAGAACCAGGCATTCAACCCCCTCCCCATTGTGGAAAAAAAAATCTCTGGACCCAGACCCAGATATTCAAGTTCTAAGTCTCTCGTCAACAAACCACATATTTCCTGGAGAGTTAGTTCACTCTTCTCTCCCTCCCGTTCTCTCCCTCTGTCTCTTTCTTTCTCTTTGTCTCTCTGTGTCTATGTCTCTTCTTGCTATGTCTCTCTCTTTGTCTCTCTGTCTCTCTGTGTCTGTCTCTGTTTCTTTCTCTGTATCTGTCTCTATGTCTCTCTGTCTCTGTTTCTTTGTCTAGTCTCTGTCCCTCTCTGTCTTTCTCTGACTCTGTCTTGCTCTGTCTCTCTGTATCTGTCTCTATTTCTCTGTCTCTGTCTCGTTGTCTGTCTGTCTCTGTCCCTCTCTGTCTTTCTCTGACTCTGTCTTGCTCTGTTTCTCTGTCTCTCTTTGTCTCTCTGTCTCTCTGTGTCTGTCTCTGTTTGTCTCTTGTATCTGTCTCTCTATGTCTCTCTGTCTCTGTCTCTTTATCTGTCTGTCTCTGTCCCTCTCTGTCTTTCTCTGGTTCTGTCTTCTGTCTCTCTGTCTCTCTGTGTCTGTCTCTGTTTGTCTCTTGTATCTGTCTCTCTGTGTCTCTCTGTCTCTGTCTCTTTATCTGTCTGTCTCTGTCCCTCTCTGTCTTTCTCTGGCTCTGTCTTGTTCTGTCTCTCTGTGTCTGTCTCTGTTTGTCTCTTGTATCTGTCTGTCTCTCTCTCTTTATCTCTCTGCCTCTGTCTCTCTCTCCGTCTCTCTCTCCCTTCTCCATTGCCCTCTTGGAATCTCCTCCCAGAGTAACAGTGACAGGCCTTGCTGAGGAAGTGCCCGTCACTTCGTCACTCATTCTGGAAGGACCCACGCCTCCCTCCTCTTCAGTTAACACCAGTCCACCTTCCCTTGGGCTGAGCAGTGCTGGCCAGGAAGCAGCAGCCACTGCCCCCAGGGGCCCACCATCCATAGCTGTCCCCAGACTGCGATGACCCATCACAACTGAGGCGGGGGAACCCAGGGGCCTGCCGCAGCCCTGACCCAGCCTGGGAGGTGAGGGAGGGCTTCCAGGAGGAGGGGATACCTGAGCTGAGCCTTAAAAAGATGGTGAAAAAGCGTCCGTTGGACAAGGGATTGGAAAGCATGCGTCACAGATTCAGTTCCAGGCAACAGATGCCGCCTCAGGGGACAGAAAGGGACCTTGTTGAGAAGAGTGGGTCACTCGCTGCCAGGAGTGACTTGGAGAACCAGGGTTGGAAAGCGAGTGAGAACCTGGCAGCTGGCCACAACACTAACCCAGCCACAGCCACGCAGAACCGGTCTGAGGACACACGGGCGCCGATGACCAGTGGACACTGTCGTGGCCTCCGCTGCCCCAGAATCAGGATCATTAGCCACTGCTCATAACAGATTGCTTCACTACTTGGCAGGAAGTGACAACAATCATTGTGTCACCTCTCGTGGTCCCCGTGGGCCGGGATTTGGAGGAGGGCTGGTTGCTTCTGGCTCAGGGCACCAGCAAAAGACAGGGTCAGCAGTGCCTGCCGCAGGGCCCTGGGGGGCTGCACAGGTAGGCACCTCTCTGTGGCCTCAGAGCATCCCCCGCGTGGTCTCCACACTGGCCAGCTTGGGTTTCCCACGGCATGGCGGCCTCGAGGGCATCAGAGCACCCTGCCTACGTGGGCCTGAAGCCTTCGTGGGGATATCCCAGTGACCCTGCATGGCCTTTTCTGCCTCATTTTGGGGGCCACACGGCATCACTTCTGCTGCATTCCATTGGAACTGCACAGATTTGACAGGAGGGGCCACAGACCCCAGAGAGTATCGAGCTCTGATTGTAGGAGATTGATGCCATCTTTGGAAAACAGAATCTGGCCCAGATGCCATGGAAGAGGTGAACCGATTTCTGACTCTTTGTCAGTATTCAAAAATATAAAAGGGTTTGCCAAGCTGAGATCACCTTAGTTTCTTTTTTTTTTTTTTTGAGTTGGAGTCTCACTCTGTCACCCAGACTGGAGTGCAGTGACACGCTCCCAGCCACCACAGCCTCGACCTACTGGTCTCCAGCGATCCTTCCGCCTCAGCCTTCCAAGTAGCCAGAACTACAGGCTACCACGCCCGGCTAATTTTTGATTTATTGTAGAGACGAGGTCTCGCCATACACCTTAGTTTCAAAGGAGGCAGGAAAACAAACATCTGTCCTTTTTTCTTTTCCCTTTTTTCGAGAGACAAGGTCTTGCTCTACTGCCCAGGCTGGAATGCAGTGGCATGATCTCAGCTCACTGCAGCCTCGACTTCCTGGGCTCAAGCAATCCCCCCACCTTGGCTTCTAGCACGCACCATGCCACCCGGCTAATTTTTTTACTTTTTGTGTAGACGAGATCTTGCTATGTTGTTACCCAGGCTGGTCTTGAACTCCTGACCTCAAGTGATCCTCCCACCTTGGCCTCCCAAACACACATCTGTCCTTGCTGGCTTCAAGAGGGCACCAGGCTTTCAGCCAGCAGGGATTTCTCTAAAGGTGGGAAGGGGGTGCAGATGCCGGGTCATCCTCCCAGAAAACACCCGGTACTGCGATCCATCCCTTAGAATGCTCAATATCAATATGCCCTTTGTTCTATGCTTGACACTCTCTCCCCCCAGAAGTTCTTATCTAATCTCTCCTTGCCAGCTAAGTCTGGTACAACCAAAATGTACTCACAGCCTGGGCAATGCAGTGAGCCCCCAAGTCAAAAAAAAAAAAAATCAAATCCCTACTCTGACCTCGTTAAGCAACTCTCCTAGTCGATCCACCCACAAGACAACACAAAATTTCACTAGTTGTGTTTTCCAGATCTGAGACCAGCCTCCCTGGGGAATAACCATTCCCCCTCCCAATGTGTCATATCCCCACAGGCCACAGGCCTCCAACTGGTTTTAAAGTTAACTGGCTGGGTGCTGTGGCTCATGCCTGTAATCTCAGCACTTTGGGAGACTGAGGCAGAAGGCTCACTTGAGTCCAGCAGTTCAAGACTAGCCTGGAGCTGGGCTTGGTGGCTCAGCCTATAATCCCACGCTTTGGGAGGTTGAGGTGAGTGGATTGCCTGAGTCCACGGGTTCGAGACCC